ACATTAAGAGGCTAAGACCATCCTCTTCTTGCAGGAATTCATTTTTGAATTTCAATTTAATTTTTATTGCTGGCTATTAACATTTGAATATTGGCATACTTTGATATTGTATTTTTGAAGGCTTTCACAGACGGGATCCGATAGTTGTTGGGGGTTTTCTGGGCTGTTTGGCTGTGTACTTAAGCCAGCTCGCAGCACTGAAAAATAAAGCCTGCAAAAAGTCAACGAATTCTACCCAGCCATAAGGACCGGTGATCACTGTACACAAGAGACCAGCTAATTACACCCATCAATCACAGTGACAGATCATCTCTCCCCCTTATCACAACAATACACCTACAACAAAAACACTGATCACCATAATCACCCAATCTCCTGAAAGGACTAAAGCTGATCCCACAGCTATAAATACTCAACTATCCAAATAAACTGCAGCAGAGCACAGACAAGAGTTCTGACTTCTGTCATCTGAAGATGCCGCGGCCACAGAGACTGGTGAAACATTAGGAAGAACAACCTTCAGAACACAGCCAAACAGCCTGGAAAACACACAACAACCATACTTTGACATTGTTTTAATCAATTATTATATCTTTGTTTTAAAATTGATTTTTACAATGTTTGAATTTTTTTATGTTAGAGTTTTTATACCATCTAGAGCAGCGGCACCAAACATCTAGCTTATGTGAAAAAAAGACTGGTTCTGGAAACTTACAGGAACGTCCATGCTCCTTTAACAAAACACTCACAGCATCTGTACCCCATTTTGTCCCAAAAACCATCCCCAAAGGGGTTTTACAAGAGTGAGCCTCTGATAACTTCTGGTTTTGTTGGAGACGAGGCTGGGCTGGACTTCTTGGCAAATCTGGACTGAGGGGGCAAAAACAGACCTTGCCCAACCTCTGATCCATTAGGGATTAATTAAAGTTCCTTGTTGGCTTTGCCGAGATTTGCAAATTCTATTGAAGCCTGGGACTTCTTGGAAGTATCCAACATTCCTCAGTAAGAAACTCAGTTATGGAAGATGTGACTTTTCTAAAAGAGTTTGCCCATCAGTGCTTGCCTTTCCTTTCAGTATGTGAGCACTGGCTGTGTTCTGAGTACATTCTTTTGTTATTGTTTAGTCGTTTAGTCGTGTCCGACTCTTCGTGACCCCATGGACGCCAGGCCCTCCTGTCTTCCACTGCCTCCCAGAGTTGGGTCAAATTTGTGTTGGTAGCTTGGATGACACTGTCCAACCATCTCGTCCTCCGTCGTCCCCTTCTCCTCTTGCCTTCACACTTTCCCAACATCAGGGTTATTTCCAGGGAGATTTCTCTTCTCCTGAGATGGCAAAGGTATTGGAGCCTCAGTTTCAGGATCTGTCCTTCCAGTGAGCACTCAGGGTTGATTTCCTTCAGAATTGATATGTTTGTTCTCCTTGCAGTCCAGGGGACTGCAACTCCTCCAGCACCGCAATTCAAAAGCAGTCAGCCTTCTTTATGGTCCAGCTCTCACTTCCATAAGTCACTACTGGAAAAACCATAATTTGACTATGCGGACCTTTGTTGGCAAGGTGATGTCTCTGCTTTTTAAGATGCTGTCTAGGTTTCTCATCGCTTTCCTCCCAAGAAGCAGAAGTCTTTTAATTTCATGGCTGCTGTCACCA